CTGTAAAGTTCTAGTATAGGGTAATAACACTGATTGTTTCCTCTAAAATCCTATTTGGAATGCATGTCTACCACCGTAAAGTTTCAGTATAGGGTAATAACACTGCTTGTTTCTAATGAAATCCTATTTTGAATGCATGTCTACTACTATAAAGTTTCAGTACATGGTAATAACACTGCTTATTTTCTATGAAATCCTATTTCTAATGCATGTCTACCATTGTAAAGTTCCAATATAGGGTAATAACACTACTAGATTCTTCTGAAATCCTATTTCTAATGCATGTCTAACCCTTGTAAAATTCCAATATAGGGTAATAACACTGCTAGATTCCTCTGAAATCCTATTTCTCATGCATGTCTACCCCTTGTAAAGTTTCAGTATAGGGTAATAACACTGCTAGATTCCTATGAAATCCTATTTCTAATACATGTTTACCCCTTATAAAGTTCCAGTATAGGATAATAACACTGCTAGTTTCATATAAAATCTTATTTCTAATGCATGTCTACCACTGTAAAGTTCCAGTATAAGGTAATAACACTACTTATTTCCTATGAAATCATATTTCTAATGCATGTCTATAAAGTTCTAATATAAGGTAATAACACTGCTACCTAACAGCAAATTATAGTCGACTCAAAACCAATAGTGCATAAACAGAAAAAACACGAATATACTCAGATTCAATTGAAAAAAACATACCTCAATTAATATGATAACATAATCAAATATCACAAATTTGTAACACAGCTCAAACCAAAACACAAAAGCAAATCCACAACCAAACTGAATTTGAAATCAATCCAAATTATAAACAAAAAGAAATTAAAATCACAATTTAAAACTCAAACGAATATCTAATACAAATTAGAACGAAATTAGAAAATCCAATAGCTTATCTCCAAATCGATAATAACAAAGATAAACGTATAAAATCAAGAAGAATTGGATCTATATTTCAAATTTAAACTTCAAAGCTGTAAAAATTATGAAAACTTAACCAGCAACTTAATTAATCAAACATGAAATCACCCAAATCAGACTACAATAAAATTGAAAAAGTCCCTACAATACCTATACCAACATATTCAGACTAACAAGGGGAGTAATTTTTGGTCTTGGACTCCGACCAAAAAGTGGCCAGAGCAATCCGGAACACTGCCAAAGCCGTCGGTCAAACTAGGATGTATTGATTAATTTTCAAAACTCCAAAATCTATCCTAACCACATACATAAACAGCTTGAGCACGAAAATTAGATAAAGTTTCATACCTCGATCGACGGAAACAACAGCCGGAGTCGCCGGAAAACTTGAAATCCACAGACCTTTTTGAGCTCGCAGCGGCGTCGTCAATGGCTGATGTGGCTGGGCTTTAGCAGACTTGATCGTCGGCCCTAGCAGATCCTTTTCCAATCGCTGTCACTGGGTTGGGGGGGGGGGCCCGGTGAGTTGGGTGGGGGTTGTTTTTTGGGAGGGGGGAGAGAGAGAGAGAGAGAGAGAGAGAGAGAGAGAGAGGGCCCAAATTTTTTCAAAAAAACTAATTTAATACTAAATGGGTAATAAAGGTATTTCATTTAAGTAATTAAACTCAAAAATGTAACAGCTGTCAGTTTTGGGTATTTTTTGGGTGTGTTTCTATGTTTTAAATAGTGTAGGGTATATTTATAGTTTCATGTCTAGGAATGGGTGTTTCACTAATTTTGTATAAAATATTCTAGGAGTATATTGGTCTTTTATTGGAATACATTAATAATTAAATATTAATTAAGGATCGGGTTGTTACAGCATGTGCCTTTGATTCTTATCCTTCTCATTCTTGAACTTCTTCAAATAATTGGAAAAGGAGCAGTGCTGGTTGATTTATGCATTTAGGATGTCAAAGGTATGCGCCACTTTCTCACCTTTCTTCTCTCTGTGGTAATCTCAATCCACAGGCCTTCTATGGGGCCTAAACCCAAATATCTTAGTCATATCCAACAAAGTTGGAGAAATTGGACCCGCTCGGAAATCAAAAGTGTTTGTGGAAGAATTCCAAAAGCACATGGCAGCAACAAGTAGGTTCTTATCCATGTTTATGAGAGTTTGGACAAAAGTATAGCATCATAAATACTAGCTTGTTTCCAATGCTTCTCATATCTTGGAGATAGCTTATCAAACCAATCAGACCACTTCACTGCGTTGTTCCTCACTTCAATGGAGGGGTATATCTGCTCAAATTCTTGCTGACCCATGTATGAAAGGATGAAGAGGAATTGCGATAGCAAAATGGGGCTTTAGCATCGTCCTTGAAAAGCATGGCCCAACCAATGAGGGCCTATGAGAAGTGTGTTCCCAATCATATGAAGAATGTTTTCATCAAGCTTGTTGTTCTTGGTATATGGATGAAGTTTACTCCGAATCTCAATGGCATGTTTGTCAACGCCATCGCTTGAAATATACGATGGGGGAAATAGGCAAAACTATGAGCATGAGACTTAGGAGAGGCCATCAGTAAGGAATTGAAGACATAATTAGGAAGAAATGAAGGGGTTAAATTTTTGGGTTTACTCAAAGAAGTGAAGAGGTTTCAAAGGTTTCAATTTGGGTTTACTCAAAGAAGTGAAGAGGTTAAATTTTTGTTTATTTGTGATTTGAAATAGTAAAGGAGGTTGCAGCTTTATACCTTAAAGATGATAGATTGTGGGAGAATAAGAGTTGCCCAAAATTAACTAGTTGTTAATACCCACTTTCCCCAAAAGGTCCAATCAATAAGCAGGTGTGGGCGGATTCAAAGGTTCAAAAGAGCGCACATTATTAAAAAGGCTTGTCATTTAAATCTTAAACCGTTTTTAAGAAAATGATTCAGACTTAGGGGGCATTATTTGGTCCTAAATTCTGTGCACCAGCCCAAATTGGCTTTTGGGTTCATTTTACAAAGAGTATTAGGCTTTGGTTACCAAAAAAATGGGTAAATGGCCCATACTATTCAACAAAATAGATTAAATTGACTAAAATAAATCATGTTAATTTGATAAATTGAGAAGTAAGTTACCACCAATGGTGATATAATCCAAGTATCAAATTAATTGAATTAGTTTAGACCCAATTCACAATTTCTTAGTCATTAAGGTATATCAAGATTGATTCCTCACCATTGGTGAATAAACTCCAAATAAAATTGATGACCTCAAAAGCTGGAAAGAGAGGTCAGTCTTGCTTTAGTTAAGAATCACGGCTATTTATTACAAATTGCCGAAATATTGCTCCATCAGGATATTTGTGACAGTTTAAACTGATCAAACAGTCAAAGATCATACGATCTTGCAACAACCAAAAGCAAGCAAGCAGTCGAAATATTGCTGCAGCAAGATATTTGTGACAGTTTAAACTGATCAAACAGTCAAAGATCATACGATCTTGCAACAACCAAAAGCAAGCAAGCAGTCTTCATCACGAAGCAATCTAACTCAAAGGAAAGCCCAAACAGTCAAGGAGAAAAACAAGATTTCTTTTGCAACCCAGAAAAAGCATTCCAACTAGAACTCAAAATAGATTAATTTCTCTTACAAATTTGATTCAGCAAATTAGATAAATCAGGCAAAAGTCAAGTCTTTCATCATATGAAAACCTCAACAAAATTTACAAAGAACATCTTAATGTCTTAAAATTGTCTAGAACGCTACCAAATTACTCAAAATCAACCAGAATCGGTACCAGTCTGTAGTTCTGCTCACTTTTTCAGCCTTTTTATGGCTCAACTCGTTTATATCTCTGTCAACTTCAACATTGGTATCAATTTCCAGCTAATCTCTATTAGTTGAAGGTGATTACATGCAATTACAGTGCAGAAACATCCAGTTCAATTAATAGAAGTCCAGTCCAATCTGATCTTAAATCATCTTTGTGATTGTATTTTTAAGCATTAGTCAAAGTCCAACAATCCAAGGCATATCCAGACTTGGCAATTCATTTTGTGCTTTGTACTTCAGGCAGTTCTGCTTGGACTAGTTTGTTATATCTTTCATAAATCCGTGTATTTTGCTTTACTTACCATTTTTATCTAGATAAATTGTTAAGTCCTCATCAATTTGAGGCATAAAGAACTCTCTTGGAGTTTCCTCACCCAAAATCACAATCATTTGTTTAAAGTCTATTACTTGGGGCGCAAATATATAAAATTATTCAAGTCTGTTAGGGTATTAAATTGCAACAGTAGCACACTCACATAAAAGAATCTTAGAAACCATTAATGGTTAAAAGATTAATGGGGAATTTTACTTAGCCTTCAACATGCTCAAATTCAAAAAGGGTAAACAGTGTGTGTGTGTGTGTGTGTGTGTGTGAGAGAGAGAGAGAGAGAGAGAGAGAGAATCAGTTCAAGTGGATACTGCATGTTGAATTTGCACCATGGCCTGCTGTTTCTCTAATGCCTGAAATTGTGCAGGCTGAACATGAATCTTTAACTGCTCTGACTTGGAAGGGTTAAGATCGCTTTGGTGGCGATGTCAATGTCTAAAAAGGTGGTTGCGCTGCTTTGTGTAGTTCTTCTTAAGAAAGATTTAGATCTGGAGAACAACGAAGATGATGTGGTTTTAACTGATTTTTGGTCCATAGTTCACACAATGTTAGCAACTCATATATGCTAATACCATTAAGATTTGTAATGGCCGTTTGGTAATCATTTCTTTTTTATTTTTGCTAGAGATACGGAGAAAGTATCATTTTTCTTTTTGCTAGAGATACGGAGAAAGTATACAGGAGAAAATTATGAGGAAAAGCACTGGTGCATGCAAGTTTCGTCTAGGAGGCTTATTTCGGAGTGCTAACAGAATACACATATTGTGCCTCTTTTCACATCACCTCAAAAACCCAGGGGTTATTTTATTGGAAGCCATGGGCCCTAAATTTTTGCCGTGTGTTATATCCTATAGAAATAGGTTGGACAGAAGGAAGCCAGGTACAGTGCTACATGTCTAGTACCCTACAAATGTCTATGTTAACCAAATGGGCAAGGAAATACTCTTTTGAAAAAAAGATCTCCCTTTGATATCATTCAATACAACCACATGCCAATGAAGATATCAGTTAAATTTAGAGACAGGAGAGGGAGAGTGGGAAGAAAAAGAGAGAGAGAGAGAGAGAGAGAGAGAGAGAGAAGGCACCTAAACAGGAAACATACTTCCTTCCAAATTATTGTTCGTGAGCTACTTGATCGTTATGTAGCGATTTGTCCCATGTCTGGCCCAGTATTCCTTCAGATCCAGTGGTATTGACAGATCATGACCATCTGCTGCTAGCCGACTGAGCAATCTTGTAAAAACACTTCCACTCATCTTGCGCCCACCCATCCGGGCATGGCGCTTATTTGGCATCTGCGGTAGTGGATACATGGACATATGGGTGGTGCAACACGATGACTGCCACCCACCATTCCCCCATTTGTAGCACTGGCGTGGTACTCCAGTGCATGAGCAAACTGGCACTGGCATTGTAGACTCATCAAAAGAGACAAGATTCAATCCCAAATCATGAGTATCCCACTCTGATTTATACTTTATCCCATCAGATGAAGCCTGCCTATTCAAATCTTCGCCTACTTTCTTTCGTGACGGCTTTGATGCCCTGGATGCCTTGTTCTCCTTTGCTCGCTTTGTCTGACGTGACTTGACAGCTTCAGCAGATATAACTGAAATAGGGAAGGCATCGGTTATATGCATATCTTTTGTGCTGTAATGAGCCTCAGCCAGTGTAACCGAATGGTTTGAAGGGTGGTGCAGGCGCTTGGCTCCACGTTGAACTCCACCACCCAATGGGAAGTTCACAGCATTGTCCCGCATATGAAGGGCTGCAAAGGCATTGTCTCGTTCCATCATGGCAGTATCACGCTGAGCAAGTGCCTCATCTCTCTGACGGAGAGCCTCATCTCTTGCAGCTAAGGCTTCATTCTTTTCACTAAGTGCTGCATTCCGTTCTCGAATAGCAGCATCCCTCTCAGCAATAATGGACATGATCTTCTTGTTCATGACTAAGGCATTTGGTTCCTTCGCTTGCTGCTGGGTCGCCATATTCCACTGCACATGTCAAATCTACCCCATTCAAATGGATCCATAATTGCATAATGTAACAAAGAATAAACACCACATGGTAGTACATGCTTTCTTCTTACCGGAGAGGCCGCCCCTCTGTAATAGTCCATCTTGTGTCTCCCATTTTCATGTTGCCGACCATCATCCATTTTTGAATTATTAGCAGCAAGTGCTGAAATCAGTTTTAAGCCACTATACATTTGTTAACATCTGGAATCAATGCTAAGCTACTATACAACTGTGAATTGTGAACGTATCACAGAGAAGCAAAGAATCGTAATCACAGTTACAAACCCAAAACACATTAGTCTTGTCAAGAAGCACATAGAAAGGATTCTACATATAATCATCTTCCCAATTCACTAAACATTAAGTTAGAAACAAAATCCAGTTATAAAGGAAGAACCATATTTACTGAAATATTATCATATACCTATCAAATCATGTAGCAAGAAATATCTCAAATTCCACCCGAAAAAATGAAATATCTCAAATAGTGTGAAGAGTTGGCTCAATGATATTGGCATTTCTTTTGTAACTTACTTCATTAAGAAGACAACAAAATGAAAAGGGTCCAACTCCCATTAGATGCTTACGGCAAATTACAACTGCTAATAGCATCACCACCTGAGTCCCTTATGTATGTCTTTCTCTCTAATTTTTATTTGGTAATGGTCCCATCCCATAACACTTGAGCTAGCCAAAAGAGCACCTGCCCATTGTTACTGGGGATTCTTAGATTTTAATCATCAAATCCAAAGTCTTGAAATCTGAAACTAATGCATAGTTTAGGCGGAAAATGAGCCAGTTGGACTTCAAGTGCTGTTAGTGAAACTTAAAGGACATTTATTGAGTACAAATACAGTTAGCAAGAATGTGTTAAGCCAAGCAGCATGGATGATAACAATGGCAACAATCCTCATTGAGAATGAGTTCTAGTAGTTGCTGCATTCATACCTTAGCAAGTGTAATATATACATGTTAAGCAATCACTTTGACCCAAAAATAAAGTAAAATCCATGTTAAGCAAACAAAAAAAGATACTATTTTAACTTCGGAGCACAAGAAGAAAATTAGAATACTTCAAAACTTACTCTGTCCTCTCCTGCTATCTGCTGACTGCATACCACGAATACATCCCCATGCTTAATACAGCTAAAGTAACAGGTACACAATAAGTCATCCAAACATGGCAAAATCTGTTGCGGTTACCATATATTAGATCTCCTATCTGAAATGCTCAAAGAGAAAAAGGAAGTAAATGAATTAGTTGAAGGAGGCATACACATATGCAAGAACATGTAAATACTTTTTGTTTTGAAAGAACAGCATGCAAGCATGCTTAAATCAAAATACTAGTACACAAAAATTCCAGTCAGAGTGATAAAGAAGTGATTTAATCATAACTTCAAAGTACTACGTCATTACACATATAAGGGCACCAAACACTAAAAAGAACCCCATCCAATGGGGGTAACACCAATAAAAGAAATTTTTGTAACTTTTTGGTGAAACTATAGTAGCACTAAATGCTTGGTGAAGGAAAACTAAGATACTTTCAAAGAAAAAAAACTGAAAACATATTTCCACTATTTCAAACTTTCGAAGAAAAATAAATAAACTGATATCCTTATCTCTGTTTTAATCATCCTCCCATCTTGCACTTACTCTCCTACACAGCAGCGTCCCCTTCTTGAAAGACTCAAAATCATCACTCTAAAACCAACAACCAATTTTACTAATTAGCTTGAATTTACTTCCCCATAATCTAACCAAAGAAAAACAGACATTTTAAATACTACTTAGACACACCAAACTGAGCTAAGCGAATCCAAAACTAGCCAGTAACTTATGGTCTCAAAAGGGAACAACAAGTCAAGTCACTCATCAGAATGGTTTATATTCACTCAAAAGAAAACCAGTTACAATCCTAAGCAGTATGTTTCAGTTCTCAACTTCCATAAACAATCATTCATGAGCTCAAAACATTCACGATTTCGAAGAGAAAAAAAAGAAGAAAAGGTTTAGAAACCTAAATCCACAGTAGGATTCATGTTTTCCATTTCCACAACAGCTACTAGAGAATTTTTTTTTTTTCCTTTTTCAAATTGATTAAATAAATACAAATCTTAAATTCAAGTACTAATCTGTCTGTTGCATACACCATATAGGATGCAGCTTAGCAAACCAACAAACAAACAAGCACACACTCCCTCGCATACTAACTCAACGTGCTAATATCCAAGAGCTAAAAGGACAGAAGAAAAAGTGATTCAAACAAGCAAGAGCTAAACATAAGCAATTACATAATGCACAGCTCAATCTCAGTCAAATAGGAAGCTAATTCTGAGTAAAATCTACCATTTTTTCTGGAGAATTTTTATTTTTGTATCAAACTGTAAATGAATGACAAATCAATGACTTCGAATATGAAGCGCTGGAGTTTCAGTGAAATTAGGTTTTCCAGCAGGAAATTCTGAATGAGGATCTCCGAGATTGAAGCTTGAAAGCTCGAAAGAATGAAAAGTGAACGAAAATCACTCACATAAATTTAAGAATCCGCATCGGCTCCGATCGATTCGCGTGCTTTGAAGTTGGAAGTTCGAAGAGTTCCCGTTTCTCGGTTTTTTATTTTCTGACTAAACAAACAGTCGCATAGAGAGAGAGAGAGAGAGGAGGGCGTGGTACGTGTGTTTGGGTTGTGCTTCAATCATTTTCGGGGCTCTACTGCACGACGTCGTTACGATTCCCAGCTCAAAACGACAGCGTCCCCATTTTACCCGCCTCCCATCAATTTAAGAGAAAATGAACAAAAATGGTGAACATAATTAATCTTTAATAAGATTTCTATAATTATAAATTTTATAATTAAAATATAATTTTTATTTACAAAAATACATGATTTTTGTAAACTTTTTATTTATAATTATAACTGTCGTCCATGAGATTTGAACTCATGACATTCTCCAAGGAAGTGAATTTTGACGTTACAATACCAAATAAACTAAATTTTCTTAAATCCAAACTCCTTTTAAATACCTGTTTCTTTTATAGTATATGTTCAAATTCATGGAGATTTCAGTACCGCAACAATAGGGTTGAAAATGTCAAAGCTCGAGTAGTATGTTCTAGAATTCTGAAAAGTGAGTTGCTTTACTAGTATAGTAGTATGTTGACAATATGGGTTTGATGATGAACTTCCAATAGTATACAATATACAGTTCGGAATTATAAATTATGATAAATCTCAGTTTACTGATATCTCACTATATAATATGAAATTATAAATTATTTTTTAGCATTATTGATTTGGAGAAAGATGAATTCTAGTGTCAGGGGCTAAAGGATACATGGGTGGTTGTGGTTCGGTAACCGCGAATTTTTACTCAAATCGCAAACCGACCGACTATTTGCGGTTTGGTGATTTTTGAAACCGCAAACCGACCGCATTCCGCAAGTTCTCAAGCATTCATAAAAATATAAATTCACAACCTAAATAAATAAATACACAACCTCAATTTCTCAAGCATATATAAATTCACAATCTCCTCAACTTCTCAAGCATTCGCAACTTAAGAAAATTAAAGTTACAATTCCAAGCATTCCAATTAAAGTTAAACTTCTCAAGCATTCCAATTCCAAATCCTTTAAAGTTACAAACCAAAAGGAAAATGCAAAGCAAAATGAATTAAAATTACAACCAAAAAGAAAAATCCAATTCAAAGTGAATTAAAGTTACAAACTAAAAGGAAAATGCAATGCACCAATGTTACAAACTCAAGTGTTGGTGGTGAGTGGATTTGAAGAACCCCGTTGTGTTGTTTGAGCACCAATGTTATCTTCAAATAAAATAACATAGTTTAGTACATTTTATTATAAGAAGAAGCATAAATAAACTAATTACTTACAAGTTGTCATATGTTCAATTTCCTTGTATAATTCAACATCATCATCCGTGCGGCTATATTTGCGGTTTGCGGTAACCGCAAGTTTTGAAAATCAAATACCGTAACCGCAACCGCAAATGCGGTTCGGTTCTTAATACCGCAAATGCGGTTCGGTTTACCGCTATTGCGGTTTCATTGCGGTAAATTGTCGGTTAGTTTTTGCGGTTTTTCGGTTTTTCGGTTTAAAATGCCACCCCTAGATACAAGGGTACGTCTCCAGAAAGATACGGAAAGGTCTAGTTGGGTTCGATTCCCATCTCCCTCTAAAAAGCCCCTACTACCACCTGAGCTAGACCTAGACATTGGAAAATTCTAGTAAAAGAGAAGAATCTAAAAAGCCCCTACTACCTCCCGAGCTAGACCTAGACATTGGAAAATTCCAGTAAAAGAGAAGAATCCGTGCTCCCTCACTCATGACTCTCAACTCCATCACTCAGTTTTGTGTGCTCTGGTCTATAGCTTGTCGTGCTTTGGTTGCGTATGGCGGGCTGTGGTTGGCGAAATCAGGAGGCTCTTTTTCGTACCGAGGACACATGTCGCGTCCAGAATCCCACATCAAAATATTAAAAGAGCCCAAGTGAGTTGTAACTGTAATTTGACACATTTATAAGTTCATTGTTGTAAATTGTAATCATGATGTTAAGAAGCAGGTGGATCCCATAGAGAAAATCAAAAATCAAAATGCTACACAAACTGAAGTTACTCTATCCTCAGTTTTGACAAATCTACTGTTTTTATCCAACAATACAACATCTGAGATCAGTACATAATTTTGTTATATTCACCCAATCTGTGGAACATAAGTTAAAAAGTAACACATGGTTTTCACAATCCAATCAACCCCTCAATGAGTATTTTTTCCCTGTAAAAGGCTGGAACTTCGGGTCTTCTTTCTTTTCAGCCTCCTCTTTTTTAGTCTCCTTTACAGCTTCCTGCAGAGTTAATTATAAAATAAAATAAGTGCAAATGATTTACAGTCAGCTTCGGACTGGGTTAAAGTTTGTAATATAATTCCAAAGAAAGTTGATGGAAGTCGAAGCAAGAAAAGTGAGTACCTTTTGTGTTTCCTTTGGAGCACGGTTGGCATTTCCTCCAAAAACAAGCTTTCCCTGAGCTTGACGACTGGTAGCTTGTGAACTAGATCCCATAGAAGGCTGTGCATTGCCATTGGTGACCATAGGTTTCTTGTCTTTTGAACCTGACGAAGAAGCTGGTGCCGGCTCATACTTCAAAGGTTTCCCATCCAAGCGTCTCCCAGCTCCAGTAAAAGGGTTGAATTTCGGCTCCGTCTCAGCAGGATCCTCTTCAACTGCAAGACAATCATATAATTCCTAAATTAACTTGGACAATGGAATAGTTAGATTAGATCGAAATACATGGAGTAATCAAAATTAAAGGCAGCGCAAGCTATGTAATTTCTGTTACTTGAAGAAAACCTTTAAGAGTCATCATTGTATGCCATCATTTCATATTTTCAATTTCAGACCTTCAAGCAGAAAATTTTGTAAACATTTCACAGAATCTCACAATTTACTGGAATTTATATTGCCGAGTTTCTTTTTGGTGAATATATTCTACCAGGTAGATGAAGGTCAGAAAACTGGTTTTTATGGGGATTCTGTCAAAGACTCCACCAAAAAAGCTCTAATCACCAATATTTGTCACCAGTTGTAGCAAACAATGTAGATAATTCTTAAATAATTCGCAGAGAGAGGCAGGGCCAGTGGCAAGTGAAGTTGGTAAAACTCACGCAGTTACCGAGTAAGATTCTTCCTCAATAAGCTCCCTATTAAGATATTTCAATCAATACCTGTGTAGCCTCTAGAAGTAAGTGCATCAAACGTATCGTATAATGCCCATGTCTAACTTCATTAGAACAATGTTTTTAGCACAAAGCTCACATACAAGCTGACTCAATCTCAGGAAAGAGCATGGACAGGAAGTAATTTTTTGGGAAAGAAAAGGCCACATTATAAAAAACAGCAAATGCCAGAGATACTTGCGGCAATGCGGAAATAAATATGTACCTTGAGCAGCTGCCTTGTTTAGAGGACCAGATGCAACAGGCTTTTCTGGTTCCTTATAGTCAAGAGGAGGTGCAAAGTCCACCTCACAGTCTGTCTCAATAATACTTATTGCGTGAGAAGGCTTTGCTTCTATAATATCTATATAATACTTCTTGTTGTTATATGCTACCATAATACTATCCCCCGTGGTTAAGCAAGAAAAATTCCTCAGTGTTGTCTCCAAGCTGCATGAAAAACAACATAATCAACTTCTTTTACATCAGATAGTTTACAGAAAACTTAGCAAACAACCTGTAGAAATTATTTGTTTTAAAAAAAGATAGTTTCCTGGAATGAACATGGAACAGCTACTCAGCATAAAATAGACACACCACTCACAGAAGATACTTGCAAAGAAAGGCAATATCTCAACAATAACATGGCAACAAATCAAATATGCATAATTAACTTGTTTGTTGTCCTCTAAGAAACAGCTCATATCAATTCATTCCTCTGCTATAACACTGATTTTATTTCCTCCTACAATAATCCTCCTCTAACTTTTCCTCCTACCTCACACAAATCGAAGAACCCATAATCTAAAATAAAGATGAAATAGAAAAACCAAAACATTCCTAAGTTCCATGCATGCCTAGGGTCTCCGAAAATAACTGAAATGACACAAGTGTAACACACTGCAGAGACATGTTGAAAATAACACAACCAAGTTTAATACAAGAAAACAAAGTGAAGCTCACCTTCAAGAATCCCCTTTTCCAATATACATACATAAATGAATAAGCAATTGCATAATAAACATTAACTTACATCGCTTTTGGATTTGAGATATCTAGAAAGTCCTTTGTATGGGGTTGCAATTTAACATATGTTCCCTTTGGAAGAGTCACATTTTTCACTCGCACAATATCACCTTCTTGCAAAAGCATATTCTCCATCATCTAAGTATAGCCAATTCAAAATAGAAACAACTCAAATTAAAGATCAGAAGACATTTTGGCTACCAAAAACAACCGCACAGTAACTTTTTCAAGTTAAGCCAGGCATAAATTCAAACTCACTGAATTCTTACCCAATAAGGCATATAGATCATGCCTTCTTCTGCAATGAACTCCAGCACCCCACAATGAGAGACCCGCTCAGCAGAATCATTTTGAAGCTCAAACAACATTGGATAATCAATATGTAAAGATGCTGCATCATGTTCAATATAAGTACTCTAGATCAGAGGCAACACATATTACAAAATAAATTAATTTGAAGTAGAAATCACCAAAACAATGACTAAAGTGAAACAACTAACCAAGGCGATCAAGGGCTGAGGGAGGCATTATAACTGAAAAAACAGAAAATAAACAAATCAGGAATACACAACTGAAGGAAGAGCTAACTAATGAAACTGACAAGACATTGGAGACTTACTTTTATCACCACTTTCAATTTGTGGCTGCAAAACAGATAATATAAATTGATATCAGATATAGGACCAACAGGGAAAGTGTGCAGGATTTGGCTGCCTTAAAACACTCCCCAGGGGGATATTAATCTTTTATTCTTTTCTCTTAAAAGAAAAATATCTCCAAAACTGAAAAAAGGGGGGGAGAGGTGATCCAGTAGACAACAGAAACCTAATAATCAAGTGTACATTCATCATGCAACAGTAATATAATTGGCGCAGAAAGCCTTGCACAGAGTTATGTAGAACTGATAAAAGAGCTGTATGACAGTTTAGTAACAATTCTTAAAGAAAAACGAAAATAAGACAGCATTCCAACCTTCTCAATAAAAGATGCAGGATAACATCGATATGTCTGCTCGAATGAAGTCCCATGATACCCATAACCATCAAAATACTGCAACATTACAGAATAATTTTTATCAAAATTCAAGGCTAATCCAGGACAACAGGTTATAAAACTTTCACGAAATCCAAATGAAGAAAAATGAATGAGAAAAATCTTTTCAAGTACAAACGCAGTAATGGTAGCTGTTAACATCTTTATTTCATAAACTGAAATTTAAAAAAAAAAAATTGTGCCAATAATATATAGTTTGGTCTGCAATAACATATGCCCATCATCAATCTAAACGAAAAAGAGTCCATAACCAGTAACTTCTTCGAAAACATGAAAATGCAAAGTAGATACTAAGCCATGAGTTAAACTCAAAACCACTCAAGCAATTATTATCTGAAGCACTGAATCAGTGTTACTCACAGTGAACCAAGGCCAAGGACTTCACATAAAACATTGTTTTCACTAAAGAAGGAACAAATATAAACAGTAATATACTCTTCCACCCAGAACATCATCACCTACCCATTGGTATCAAGTGCCCAAACAGTGAAAAGTAAAACCTTTTTTTCTTATTTTTGGATAAATACTTATATATACTGAGCTGAATTCATACCATATTCACTGCGTATGGATTTGCACACTGGCTAACAACCTCCAAAAGCTCCCTACCAAAAAGAAAAGAAAAGCACAAGCTTAAATACTTATACAAAACCTAACAAGAAATTAATGCCCAGATCATAGTAACAAATATTGAAAGTTTCCAACTTTTCCAACTTCTATCAAATTTTCCTTAGTTTTTCTCATTGTACTCGGAGCGAAAACTTCAGGCTAGAGTAATCAAATAAACAATTACATTCATATCAGTAAGAAAGATATAATCAATATATTGTATTAAATTTCTAAATACAGATAATTGATCAATGTCTTACTAGTGCAGCAACCCAAAAAAGGGGAGAACTTCAAATACCCTTCACTCAAAACTTAACCCAAAAGCAACACAGTTTTGACCTTTCTTCAAAAGAAAAACATGTGGTCAAAAGAGAAAGCTCCAAAATTTGATGGGTTTTTGCTGGGCATGCAAAATTTGATGGATCTAGGATTTAAATAGATTATGAATTGGAAAACTAAACGAGAAACAAAACGGTAATTAAGTGGAAAATCGAAGGTGAGAATTGCGATACCGTCTGAGGAGAGAGAAGAGAAGAAGACGATCAAGTCACTGTGTGTTTGGTTGTCTTTTGATCTCTCCGGGGAGATGTGCTGTGGAATGTGTAGAATACTAGAATTAGACAACCGATTGCGCAAGAAAAGGCTAAGATGCGCCTCTGTGCGTTTGGTGCACGCTATGTTCACTGTCGGCCTACAATCCAAGTCCAAATCCAAATCCAAACCCAAATCTAAGTCCGATTCTAATATGGATATCATTGGGCCTGAAATATGGGATTACATAACAAGAGCAATGGCTAATGTTTTTTTTTTGGGCTCAATGGCTCATGCTCATCATCTTGGTCGTGCTTAGCCCAAAATTAATAATCCAAGAAAGAGTAGCCCTAATTTTACGAAGACTTTTTTTTTTTTTTTTTTTAAGACTTCTCCTATTGAAAATAGCAATAACATACTAAACTCACAAGTACTACACGGATGCTAGGACTTGAACCCCTACACTAATGAGTCTTTTACATTTTCTATTTTAAACAACACACTAAAATACATTATAAGGTGCGCGTCGAGGCAATACATCAATGAATCGCCTCAAGCTTACAGTTGTTTAGCTAAGGTAAGGTCATGGAAAACGTATGCCTTGACAACAAGATGTTGTAAGGCAGTGCAAGGTGCGTACTAGTTTATAGAGATGGCACGAGGCATTCTTTGAAAGATATATGAAACTCGCAAAGGAATGAGGACATCTGAAATGTTAACGCAGTTTACTAGAAATAAAAAGTGGAACAAAATGTCATTAATTCGGAACCCTAGTTTCCATGTGAACTCTTGTACTTTATGCTAGCAGTTAAAAGACATCCAAGGTGGTAAAGTTATGCCAAAAATTTTAGGATATCATGACACAATTTCACTACACTAATCCCTCATCCTATCCAAGATGTAAGGCTATCAAAGCCCCAATCTGATTTCTTCCAAGAAACTGTGCTCAGAAACATGAGATTCAATAGACAACAGATTCAGACACCTTTGCAGGAGTAACGTAATGCTAGAATCTTAGGGCTGAGGCCAGAGGAATGAGGAATCCCACTATCTCCAAATCCCTTAGCTGAGGACATTTAGATAAGATGTTTTATAATCATGCAAGAGTTGACAAAGAAATTCTAAATAAAGCAAAGCAATTCATGTCCACAACAGTAAAAAGGCAATATGCTGTGACAAGTAGATTGGTTATCAAGGCCACAATAGGATTTATAGTAACGCAAGGCATCATGAGAATCGGGTTCAGTCCAGCTAAAAATATATATGTGAATGTTCAGAGCTGAATATTCTCATTCAATCTTAAAGATATAAGATCATCTTCAACGCTTGGTCCCAACCGCGAGTGGATGAAGCTTTATGTTCAATTTCATAGAGACGGATCATCAGATCACTACTAGCAACGCTGATATTGTCTTCAATTTAACCACCAACAAAGCCCAGTAGATGTAGGGTTTTATCACAAAAGGTATCGGTGCTATTAGAAGTAGAACCACTTATTAATTTATCTTGTAAAGTTTTCAATTGGTAAACAATAAATAAAGATGGGGCCTCAAATTTTGAGACCGTAAAGTCGAAGGAAAAAACTGTTTGAGACCTTATATATAGATAAATAGTTGTATTAAATTTGAGTTTGGAACCTTTTGGAGTGGAGATAATCTTGTAATGTTATTGTTCAGATTCCTTTCCGTTGAAAACAAAAATAGCTTGGTAGGAAATAGATTCAAGATTATAGGGGCAACCGACAGACAAGTGATCTGTAGAAGATGGCGTTAATTTAGGAGCTGCATTGTGAACTGGAGGGAACAAAAAATATCATGAAGGATCTTCACTTTGTTCCAAAAAGGCTGCATTATGCATATTCCATTACCAAAATCATAGTCCACCTGCAAAGTGCAAGCCACCATCAACAGAATATCAAATCACAGCTACAAAATCTGAAGGGCATCATCAGTTGATAGAACCCAAATGCAGAAAAAGAAAAAGGAAACGATAATGGAAAATATTCAATTCATTTATACAAGCACACTCATTTGTGTTACTCAAATTGAAGACAGCTAGAATTCTTTTCTAGTTACTCTTCGTTGTTCTGTTCTTTTTCTTCTTTCTTTCCTATCACTACAACCCAATATAACTCACTCACATGCATATTGGTCTCCCAATTTACTCCATTTCAAATTTCCATAAAAAATTGTATTGTTTGGATTTATAATTTATGACTGTCTTATTTTTACAATATTCAGTTGCAGTTTTTCCATGTTTCTAATCATAAATATCAACATAATTCTGTTGCACATCCAATGTACTGGTGCATTGTTTTATCAACGGCACGATTTTAATCTTTTAATTCAATAGCTAAAACATGCAACATACCAATGCATTAGATGTACCATACTTCAATTGAATGTGGTATTGGTCAGTGATCATCATCGACTGAGCCAATTTAGTTTAGACTGATTTACAAGAGCTCAAAACCGCAATCAAATATGAACCATTACAGTCTGGTTTAATTTTGGACTATTTTTACCACTTATTTTATGTTCAAATCTAAACTAAACCAACCACTCCACTTCGGATCAACCGATTCAATCGGTTTGACCGGATTGTTGCCCGCCCTTATAGCTGATTGCTTCCAAGAAGATAAGCGCCATATATAATTTGTATACCGAGGTTGCATAATACTAATTAACCCCACAAGCACTCGTGCAAACTTTAGTGAGTTTAATACTTTGGATCCTCTCGAAAGGAGAGCAAAACCCTATACTTAGGAATTCCAGCCGCCTTGCGGTTGTGTGCGCCCTATGTTGGTTTGTGGCCATTATGGAATACAAGGAATGAAGTACTTTTAGGTTTTGAACCAATGCCTGTGGAGAGAAGTCTTATATGTGCAAAGAAAGTCCCATTTTCTTCATCATAAGAGGCCTTCTTTGTCAGTTCATGGACGGCGTTGGTGATGGTACCCGCTATAAGATGATTATTTTAAATTTGTTATTGTTGGTGTGATAGATTTGTTTGTGTGAGTTTGACTTTTATTAATCCAAATTATGGGTGATATTCTTTCCTCCAAGAGGTTTTGTCCCATGAGGTTATCTCCGATAAGGTTTTATCAAGGCAACAGTTAACATGTTGGTTCTCACTCTATACTGTTTCATGATTTTTTTTAATGGAATATATTTTCGTATTAAAAAAAAAAAGTTGCAGAATACAAATCTTATTAGCAATAGCATCTCATCTCTGTGTGCGCTAAGCAGAGACACCAAGAAATCTTGACTCGGTGCCTAGTAATCCTAAAGCTCGACGACATTTGAATAGAATAGGTGACCACTCATGAACGAGCTTGACAAGGAAATTCTAACAATGCATGTCTACAACAGTAGGTTTTTTGTCATGCATGTCTACAACAGTTAAAAGAGCAATATTCTCTGACTAAAAAGTAACCAAAGCATGAGAAAGCGTGAGAATATGGTTCATTCCAGCTCAAAAAAATCTACGTGTGAATCTTCAGAGCTGAATGAATATGCTATCTTCTATCTTAAAAAAGAAAAATATGCATGTGATTTGAGAGCCCTTGCGATTTTGTTAATTTGTTGGGAAACAGAGTCTGATTCAAAGAAATCAGAATAAAATTCCAAAACATCTGTTCTTACCAATGCGAGAGCTACAAAATCCCCAAAATTGGCGGAAAATCGCAGCGAGCAAAACACGGCATGTGTCTCCATCTTATAAGTCGACATTAAAATTCATTTTAAGGAGCTCATAATAGAGGGAGCCGGCCAGACAAAGCAATCTATAGAAGATGGTGCTCTCAGTATGTGCCCAATTGTGACTTAGGGGGTACAGAAATATCATGAAGGATCTTCACTTTGTTCCAAAAAGACTACATTATTAGAGCACTTCCACCCATTTGCCATGGCAAAGGTAAGGGCAAGGCTGGGGCTGTTATTATTCACGTGAATAGTAGCAGCCCTTGCAAAAGTTGGTGATGTTTCCATTTATTACTATGACAACCACTATTCATATGAGATATGAGGAGAGGAATTTGTATAGAGTTTTGGCGTGGTAAGTGAAGAATATGACTAAGTATTTATTTTATTTTTTAAATCTGAAATTTTTAGTAATTTTTTTAGATTTTTTTTTAATTTTTTTCGTTGCTAACGTCAGCAAACCCAGGCAACATCCCAGACTGTTCTTGCCTTTGGGCTAGCCTGGTTTGCTAGGACCCATGAGCTGCCAGGGCTGTAAAAGCCTGTTGGAACTACAAATTGGGGCTAGGCCCCTTGTTGCCCGGGCTGGGGAGCACCGGTGGAGATGCTCTTATGAATCTCCCATTTGGGTAGGGCAACGAAAGGATAAAAAAAAGACACAAGATCAAATCCCATTCCTGGGTAGGTCATTGTTCTACAAGCATCTCCCAAGTCCTACCACTTTATTTTCAGGAAAGCAAATCCAAATTTTGATTTTGATCTCTGGCCAAACTTAACATAATAAATTGAGAATAGCAAAATAGTATTATCCGTGTTACAGACAAAGTGTTTCTCCTTACATTTTACAGTTGCAGTTTTTCCAAGTTTCCAACCATAACAACCTGCTGCATCTATGACTGGAGATTGCTTAACAACCTGCTGCATCTATGGTATGTGTGCCTCACAATTCACAAGACTGACCACAACCACCAGTCTTTGTAAATAACATCACAGCCAATCTTGACCACAAATGTCTTGAGGCTCCACAAGCCTAAGCAAGCCATACACAAGCCCACAAAATTGTGGTCATGGTCAACCCAAATGCAAGTCCTTCGTCTCATCCAATCATGCAGAAGAAGCAGTTTATTCTACATCATTTTTGTATACTTAAAGCAAAAACTATTCACCCAAAAGACAGAATATAAACACAACTACCAGAAGACCCCACGACCCATGATCTCAGAATCTCCTTATCCAACCCTTTTCAAAAGACATTGACCCCATTCTATTTTTTTACTTTTTTTCATCAAACACTTGACACAACCCAAACCAACCGCCCACAAGGGCCCTACCAAAGGATCCCAAATCATAAAGCAATGAAGAACATCATCAGTTTCAATGGCAAGCAACTTTC